AGCTAGCTGGAAAGGGACGTGACGGTTAGCTTGAGGGCATGGGAGAACAATTGTTTTAGAATCATTGTTGGGGGGAAAAACCTAAAAGTGTTGGCATAGTACAGTAACACTGTTGGTAATCTGCATGGAAACGTCATGCTGCAGGTGCGCATGTAACAATATTCTGTTGCTGTATTTCTCATATTATGTGCTGCTAATAATATGATGAGGTACAGTAGAACCTTGTTGATACAAATTGCAGAAAACCATCAACAAGAATACACTATAGCTGTAGCAAGTTGTACCACTTGGTGTTGTCTGGGGATAAACATAATAACTAGGTTTTTTTACTTTTAGTAGTGTTCTTATTAAATCGGTTCCAATGCATTGGTCCAAAATGCACACACAAGATTATAATAGTGACACGTCCGCGGGGGTTGTCATGATGGTACTCTCCCAGTGGTACATTTTACCGTTCTCAGCATAACTGGATAGGGGGTGCAGTCAAACAGTAGTTTCCCTTGTGCTAACCTTGCGAAAGCAAGTGTGGGTTTGGAATTTAAGCAAGGCTCCAGACAGTCTGTGTGGCAATCGTTTCGTTGATCGACTTTAGATTCAAGACGATGCCGGGTAGAGTGCTTGGCATAATTGCTTGTTTAACCTCGTGTGGGTTGTCATATTGCGTGGGGTCAAACATTCCACCAATTTGCTTTATGTGTCTGTGAAATGAAGTGTACCCGTCGACACTTGACTGTCCAACGAGATATAACGGCATATTAGTATGGATAGGTATTCCGTCCCAAGGGAGTATAGCAGCATGCAATGACATTTGCGAGGGTGGAGACTTGAGCTATGGCCAGTCATGAAGGTTCAGGTTATCAAAACTGACACACCCTGATTCATTGGCTGCAAGTTCACACAGCACACAATTTGGTTACTTCGCTTGGAATCTGTATCCTACCCAAGAAATTCCACAGGGAATTGTAGATAGCTTGTGTAGGCCACCACCATGGGCAAGGGCGGATCTGATTAGCTTTCGTGTGTCAGTTTTGATACCCTAAACTTTTAGTCATGATTGCCTGTCTTGTCTGACAAGCCCCAAGGATAGTTGACTAGCTAACTCTGGTGGGTTTATCCACCACCTTTCTCTGAACTAGTAACACTAAGCATGTTGTTTGCTACAAAATTGGCGAGCGACTGTTTTATACCTACTGGCACAAAGTAGCTTGCTGGGTATAAAACAGTCGCTCGCCAATTTTGTAGCAAACAACATGCTTAGTGTTACTAGTTCAGAGAAAGGTGGTGGATAGACCCACCAGAGTTAGCTAGTCAACTATCCGTGGGGCTTGTCAGACAAGACAGGCAATCATGACTAAAAGTTCAGGATATCAAAACTGACACACGAAAGCTAATCAGATCCGCCCTTGCCCATGGTGGTGGCCTAAACAAGCTATCTACAAATTCCCTGTGGAATTTCTTGGGTAGGATGCGGATTCCAAGGGAAGTAACCAAATTGAATCAGGATGTGTCAGTTTTGATAACCTGAACATCATACTATGACTGCCCATAGCTCTGTCTGACAAGTCTCCGCCCTCACATATGTCATTGCATGCTGCTATACTCCTGGGACGGAATGTCTATCCATACTAATATGCCATTATATCTCGTTGGACAGTCAAGCGTCAGCGGGTACACTTCGTTCTCAGACACATAAAGCAAATTGGTGGAATGTTTGACCCCACGCAATATGACAACCCACACGAGGTTAAACAAGCAATTATGCCAAGCACTCTACCCGACATCATCTTGAATCTAAAGTCGATCAACGACACGATTGCCACACAGACTGTCTGGAGCCTTGCTTAAATTCCAAACCCACACTTGCTTCGCAAGGTTAGCACAAGGGAAACTACTGTTTGACTGCACCCCCTATCCAGTTATGCCGAGAATGGTATAATGTACCATGCCACTGGGAGAGAGAGTACCATTATGACAACCCCCGCGGACGTGTCACTATTGTAATCTTGTGTGTGCATTTTGGACCAATACATTGGAACCGATTTAATAAGAACACTACTAAAAGTAAAAAAAACCTAGTTATTATGTTTATCCCCAGGCAACACTAACTGGTACAACTTGCTACAGCTATAGTGTATTCTTGTAAATACGAACATTAATGAAGGTTTTCTGCAATTTGTATCAACAAGGTTCTACTCTACCTCATCGTATTAGCAGCACATAATTATCAGAGACACAGCAACAGAATATTGTTACATGCTGTTTTATACCTACTGGCATAAAGTAGCTTGCTGGGTATTCGTGTCAGACAAAATTAATGTTAATGAATCCAAATTTGTGAACCTTCCAAAGTTTTGTTCTAAAAAATAATTAATACTGATTATTTTGGGGGAATAAGAAACAGAATTTTTACTTACGACACTGTTTGTAACTAATTGTCCATAATGTAGATGTCAGGGTACAAAGTTTACTTGCCTATATAATTATTGGCAGCAAACTCAACAAAATTTAAAGACTCCATCATGTCTACCGCAAAAATGAAATGTAGACACACCACTTTGAAAATCAGATTTATCAAGTCTATGAGTGTGATTCATATTTTGATAGTCCAATTATATTCTACTTTCTACTTTCAAAATGCTCTTATAGCCCTGATCTCACCTGGAGAGATGTGCAGTATCTGATTGTGTACACGTCTAACACCAAAGAGACTAATGCAACTGATTCAGTTACAAATGGAGCCGGTCTGGTTGTGAGTCATCAAGTTGGGTTTGGTGTGATTGATGCCGAGGCCATGGTTACCAGAGCACAACGCTGGACTAATGTACCTTCTCTTCTGATAGAACAGATGACCCCTACTATAACTACTGGGTAATTGCATAATGACAGACTATGTAACTGACATACAATAATAATTATACCTTGCAATGCACGCCAAATGAAATCTTCATAGCAGAATATTATATTTTTTCCCTCTGTTATAGTTCAGCTGCATATCAGTCATCATTTACAACCACCATCCAGTACAATGGATCGATTCAATATTTGGAGCATGTTGTAGTTACCATGACAGTGGATACAGTAACAGGGTACCGTAGAGATATAAGGATTGAACTCACATCGCCGTCAGGAACACAGTCCACCCTTCTGAGTCATCGCAATAGTGACTATAGTTCCAGTGGTTACTCTGTTTGGCCGTTTATGTCTGTAATGTTCTGGGGTGAGGACCCTAATGGAGAATGGAACCTGACAGTTACCACTCGTAGCACCACTACTAGTATTGAAGTTAGTCAAGTCGAATTTCGGTTTTTTGGAACATCTGGCACACCGGACTCAGTGGGTAACATTCCGGCTACTTGTCATCCAAACTGCAGTAGAGGTTGTTCCGGTGAAGGCTCTGATAACTGTGATGCTTGTTCTAATCTCCGCAATGCTTACACACTCGAGTGTATCGACACATGTCCACCAGGATACACTCAACGTAACGGATACTGCTATAACTCAACACTACCGAATGAAGAGTGCTTCTCTCCATTGAAAGAGAAGGAGGGAGGTAATGAATGTTACAACTGCAGTGTTTCAGTGGGACCTATTCTGTGACATTGTGTAGGTGAAAATGCCACTTCAGCTCCAACTGGTGGTTCTTGTGTTGATGCTGGGTTTGTTGGTTGCTGTGATTCGAGCTGCTATGTGGGTTTCCTGCTGGTGTGATCAAATATGCTACTCCTTTGGTGACTGCTGTGATGACATAGAAGGCATAGGATGCTTTCCAGTCGGTGATGGTACGTGCCAAAAACATTAAACTGTATTAAAACATTATCTTCATTAAATCTTTCAGGCGGTAGTGGTTCTGGCAGTGGTATTAGTGGGTTCCAACCATGAGCATCTTTTCATAATTTTGAACGTACTGTTCACTGTGCAGGTCCTACTACTGAACCTACCACAGGGCCAACAACTGGGCCAACTACAGGCCCAACAACTGGGCCAACAACAGGCCCAACAACTGTGCCAACTACAGGCCCAACAACTGGGCCAACAACAGGCCCAACAACTGGGCCAACTACAGGCCCAACAACTGAACCCACTATGGAGCCGAGTACTGGATCTTGTCTTGATGCTGGATTTGATGGATGCTGTGTCGACTACGAAAGCTGTGGGGTTTTCGGTCCCAGTGGATCGGCCTGTTTCTGCGATCAGCTATGCTACAATTTTGACGATTGTTGTGAAGATATAGCGAATGCAGGATGCTACCCTCAGAACAGTATGACTATCATCAATTTTACTTACTACTGCGGGGTTATGTACGGTGGATATCCAAACCGGCGCAGACACATCTTTAACTGATAGGGATATGATTCACACCTACAAACGTTTGAAGCATGTTGCTAACCCTTCATTTATTGGGCTGCGGGCATGACTATGATATAAAAACAAACATCTATATTCATTAATTTTGTAGGAGTGACTGTTGTATTCAAGAGCAGATTATTGTACACATTACTGCCATGTATTTTCTCCCAGTCCCTCAAGTTATTCCTTACATAACGTTTGGAGAAACGGAAGGAGTCCTCACACAGGCTGTTCCTATTTTGATGACGGGACTTCTGCCCCAATTACTGTTTTATTTCCACTTGGCTCAAACAACCGATCAACTGTTTATGTGAGTTGAGATAAATCAACAATATATGAATAACATGGGGCAGCAATTAATAAACTGGAGCTAGCTACAACAACAAAAATTTAACATTATCAGCGTGTGACACTGTTGTGGTGGTCAGCCCTCCACTTGTGACACAAGGAAAAGTAAACAAAGAAAGGGGCATGTGTCCAGATGGGGCAGCATTGCTTCACTGGATTTAGATGAAACAACATTTAAATTAGGTTAACATTGTGAACCTTATTTCACATCTACTAATTTTTTTAACAGGTGGGAACGAAATGGCTATTTCACTTTTACTGGGTATTCCGGATATTCGCCTTTCCTCTTTAATGAGAACACTAGTCTTCCTCTTGTGGCTCCTTTCTTTACTGACATCGACATATCTAATGGAGTCGGTCAAATTGACTATGAGATCCACACCAGTGATACTTCAGGATCCATCCTCTCTCAAGTCAATTCGGTGATCAACGAACACACTGGCACTAGCTTCAATGGTGAATGGATGCTGGTTGACTACTTGGGAACATGTTCCAGCATTTGGTGGTGGGACTAGCATTGTGAGGATATAGTTTAAAATTTTAGAAAGTTTGTTAGTAGCTATATAACTTTTTTACAGACAAACACATTCCAAGGAATGTTAGTCACGGATTTCACCAGGTCCTTTGCTGTGTTCACGTATTATTGTGGCCACCTGGGGTACTCTAATGGAGCTACAATTGGATTCTCCAGTGGTGATGGTCTCTTTGCTAACCATCCGGCTACCCAGAGAAGTTCAGCTCAGTCCATTGCCTGTCTGAACCAGCCTGTCACTCCATGGGTCAACATCGTCTATGAACTCACTAGAGAAGGTGAGCTATCATGTTTTGACTATAATTGAGTGGCTGATGCTTGCCTGCGGCAATCGTAAGTTGTCACATCGTACAATATTATTATTACACCTCGTAATAACATGGTAGCCAACTAGCTTTAACTTCCAATGCCTATAGTATACAGTGGAACCTCTGAACAGAGAGTTTATGGGGCTATTACACTTATTGCTAAATAATGCATATGAAGGCACACATTTGTAGAGGGTAATATAAGATACTGCTTTAATTATATGGTTGGTGATTTTAGAAAATGTACAGTGACTAGTCTATTTTACGGTTAGTTTGCGATAGAATGTGGAGCCAGGATTATTTCATAATGAGAGTGGGTATTGCTAAAATAATTCATGTGTAGGCAAACATTTAGATATAATAATAGTAAGCTCATTTCTGGTTGGATATTTAATAGTGACTAGTCTATTTTACGGTTAGTTTGCAATAGAATGTGGAGCCAGGATTATCTCATAATGAGAGTGGGTATGTGGCTATTGCTAAAATAATTCATGTGTAGGCACACATTTAGATAGTAAGCTCATTTTCTGGTTGGTGATTTAAAAAAATGTATAGTGACTACGGTTAGTTTGCAATAGAATGTGGAGCCAGGATTATTTCATAATGAGAGTGGGTATTGCTAAAATAATTCATGTGTAGGTACACATTTAGATATAATAATAGTAAGCTCATTTCTGGTTGGATATTTAATAGTGACTAGTCTATTTTACGGTTAGTTTGCCATAGAATGTGGAGCCAGGATTATCTCGTAATGAGAGTGGGTATGTGGCTATTGCTAAAATAGTTCATGTGTAGGCACACATTTAGATAGTAAGCTCATTTTCTGGTTGGTGATTTTTTAAAATGTATAATGACTAGTCTATTTTACGGTTAGTTTGCAATAGAATGTGGAGCCAGGATTATTTCGTAATGAGAGTGGGTATGTGGCTATTGTTAAAATAATTCATGTGTAGGCACACATTTAGATAGTAAGCTCATTTTCTGGTTGGTGATTTTTAAAAATGTAGAGTGACTAGTCTATTTTACGGTTAATTTGCGATAGAATGTGGTGCCAGCTTTATTCTCAATGAGTAAGGGAATGTGTGGCTACCATATTAGAGAGTCAGTAGACTTTTATATAGGGATGGCACGGGTAAAATCTCATGTGATCCGCGTACAAAACGACTAAAAACTCGGTGAGAATGACTCCCTAGGCCTTCAAAACACACTAGCAATAGTCTACGGGCCCATATCTACCTACACATGTTCCCAAAGACCTCATATGCACCTTCAGTCGTCCACGTGAGAATTCGCTCATACGCGATTTCACGATTTTCGTGTCATCATAATTATTATTCATCATCTTCTTCTATAAACCTTAGTACCAGTACCAGTTGAAGGGCTGATTTTTTCACTGAACGTCTCCAATTTCGCCGGAGGTGTGCACAGACATCAAGCGATCTTTTCTTTCTTGCCGCTAGTCACTACGGTAGGTCATGGAGCTCTTCCATGGTCGACACTGAACAACGCCACTTGCTGCTAACTCAGCATCAGTGAGCCGCGTGCATGCACCAGGCAGGGGCGTTGTCCAATGTGCTAGCGAGCGTATTACCAGGCAGACCTGTAGAGGAACTCTCAGCCTCAAGTACCTTCTGTAAGTAAGTGTGCACATTTCCAACTGCTGGCTAGCTTGCTGTTTATTTGTACGAGGAGCAACTTGGCAGAGTCTGCGCGGTGTTACACAGGCTTCGCAGGGCGCTCAAATCGGCCTTCATTGTTTGTCCCCCTCAGGTTGTAGCCTGATTACCAAAGCCTGCCCATGAAACCACAACCATGTGCCATTAAGACATGAGGTGAATGCGATGTCTAGCTCCTGCTTCTGGCACTAGCAGCCCATTATCTACTGCTTTCAACAGTTAGAGTTTGTCTATGGTAGCCTATCTACAGCATACCCATGAACATCACAGTGACTGTAACAATAAACATGCAGTGTTGTCATAAGCTGTTAAAAAATAGTGGAAACAAGTGGAAAATCATCAGCAAAGATGCACAATTCTACATGACACCATCCCTATACCTTTGTTTTATTGTTTATAAGCAAAGTTTAATATCGAACAAAGAGATAGGGATGGTGTCATGTAGCTTTGTGCATCTTTGCTGCATAATATACAACAAGCAGCACATCTGCAATTAAAAATAGGATGCCAGTTATATACACTTTAATTGTTGGCTAACAGTATTGTCAGACTGTTTTGAATTAGTTGCTGAAAATATCATTTGCTTTCAGTACAGCTCAGATCTGAGTTGTTTTGATTACTCCAACAGCCATGTACAAATAATGCTGCAAAAATGGATCTGAAAGATCCCTCAAATGTCATGTACCTCCACTCATTTTTGTTTACAGGTGTGGTATGCAGTGGGGGATATTACTACTCCAATATAGCACAAGAATGCATATGTGAGTTTAAAATAATTGCCAAGCGCGTTAGCGTGAGGCAACTACTCCGGGTTGTATTCTCGCGATATGCGTACGTACGTACGTACGTCGTCAATTAGTGACGCTTAGGAATGTCAATTAGTCACCAAAAGAAAGTGTAACTTCCGCCGTGCGCGCAGATTCGTAGGAAGTCAGGCTTCGCGCGCAGTCAGTAGAGCGCGCGCACGAGCGGCCTCAGTCGGACTGTTTACGCATAGGCTGGCAGGCGCGAGGCAAAATATGCGCGTGCGCATTCCTAGTATTGTTAAGTTATTGTAATCCTACATACAGCCCTGGATTCAGTGTACCAGTATGAGCCAACTATTCTGGAAGGATGTGATCCTGACAGGAATGATGAATACCGCACTCATATCGAGGCCGAGATTGAGGCCTTGATAAATGAGTATTTTGAAAATGCTCCATGAACACATTAAACGTAGCACTTTAACTAACATGTTTTTGTCAATTTTAGTAGGATGCAATACAATAGCTAATGTAAAGCTACCCTTCATTGTTTTCTTAGACTTTCAGATATATACTTTATCGATATATTTTTATGAGTTTTGTTACCTGCGAAGAATGTGCGCGTTAAATGGGAATGAGGCAGTATACAAGGGCTAAATTTAGAAATGTTACTAATAACGGAACTCAATTGCATTCTTTCACCATGTCCCAAATGTTTATCTTTCTAAATTTAGCCTTAATAAACTGCCATATATATGCCAAGAGCCTTTTTATGGGGCTATCATACTAGGCGTTAATATGTTATACATCAATTTATGCTTATTTCATACCCACGGCGTCCAAAACACTCGGCGCGCATGCGCAGCGAGGGTCACAGTATTATTTTTGGTGTGCCTGTCCAATCCATCTGTCTGTATGTTACCACGTTTTCTGCCACCACGCGCAACAAACCGACCAAGAATCGACACTAACCGGGTTCAGCGCTACACTGGCTTCATATTTACCTAAGAATACTGCGCTCTAAAGTGATATTGCGTGAATATGCTAATTAGCACAGGCTTATATACCTCGACCGGGTCAGCTTGCTCTGTGTATCTTGAAGGCACAATAAGTCACAACGAAAGGCGTCCCGCATGCTATCTACAGCTCTAGCTAGCCCGTGTCAGACTCTCCGCGAGGTACACTTAGCGGGAGAGCATGAGCAATCGCTAGCGGTACCACGCATGCGCAGTTCGACGAGGGTTTGCATATTACGGCGCGCATGCGCAGCGAGAGTTACGGTACTTGGTCCGTAAGCTTGTCTGTCTGTTACCAAGTTTTCTGCAACCACGCGCAACGAGGCAAAGAAAGAGCGATACCAAAAGGTTCAGCGCTATACCGGTTTGATTTGGCGATTTACTGCGTTCGAGAGTAATGGCGTGAAAACAAAGTGAAGAAGCCAATACGCTATTTAGTACTGGCTTACCCCGCCCGGATTCTGCTGTTTGTGCACTGCGGAGGCATGCGATCAACGGAAGACGAGTGTAGAGTTCAGCGAAACACGCTAGCTTAGCTAGAGAAAGCTGGCTGAGCTGGTGTCCCGACTGCACCAACCGCGGGTAATCCTGCCGCGCCTGCGTATGTTACACTGACGCGCGCGTTTGTGAGTTGCATGCGTATGCATCGAGCATGCGTAGACACTGAGCTAAGTGTGGCTTCGTTTTCCTGTGGAAAGCTACCCTACAATGGATGCCAACTCTTAGCAAAGGTCTGGATTAGCGCATGAGATGAACGCTAGCCTCGCACGCGT